ATCCATCCATCTAGTTCCTTTTTACCATGTTTAGAATATAGAACCAAAAAACTTCTAAACCCCCAAAATGAAACCCATGCCATTGGGTTGATCCAGATTCATGTTGTACTTAGTGGCGTCCAGTCGGTTCCGGGTCACAGTGACACTGTGTACAACAGAATGAAACCCTGCCTGGTTCTGACTTATAATCTATCTATCTATCTATCTATCTATCTATCTATCTATCTATCTATCTATCTATCTATCTATCTATCTATCTATCTAAATCACACACACACACACACACACACACACACACACAATTTCCAAGACTTTGTAAATCTTCACGGGAGAAGAAAGCCTCACCTGTCTCCCTTGCAGCAGCTGGTGGATTTGAACATTCACCTTGTGGTTAGTGTTCCCGACTCCTTAGAAGGTAGAAAGGTGACAAAAGGCCAATTTCTCAAGTGTGAACACTGAAAGATGCAGTTCAAAAACCAAGCTCACTGCCATTGAGTTGATTCCCAACTCATCGCGACCCTGGAGGACCAGGCAGGGCTGTGCCTCTGAGATTGAGACTTTAAATCCTTCCAGGAATAGACAGTCTCCCCTTTCCCCCTTGCATCCCCTTGGTGGGATTGAACTTGTGGTTGGCAGTTCAGTTCGTAGCCCAATATGCCACCAGGGCGCAGGAAAGCAGTTAGGATGATTTGCCAAGAAGTAAAGAAGCCAAACTGGATGAATAGGAGCAAATCCTAGTAGGAGACTGAAGGTCTAGGTCTAATGTCTCAGGTGTCCACCCAGTATGTCTTTCCTCACAGCTGCCAGGTGGCCACGACATAGTTCACAGATTCCAACTTGCTTTAGACTTTCCAAGGTAACCTTTCTGCTTTGCTGTCTTTTCATGTTCTCTTTTTCGACTTGATAGTCCACATCATTTTCTAACGAGCTTAATGTCTCTCAACAATGGATACCAAGACTCTGGATTCTACCTGCGGCTCCGTGTTGTTCTCTCTGGGGTTGGCTTAGTCCTGGGAGCAGGATCAGGGGTGCAAGGGAAACTCTGAAGGGGATGCTTCTGGGTCGCTGGCAACTGAGCTACTTAGATTTTCTTCTAGTTTAGGACCCCTGGTGGTGTACTGGTGACTTGCTGGGTGCTAACTGCAAGTTCAGCAGTGAGTCCACCAGCTGCTTCCCAGGAGAAGGATGAGGCTTTCTGACCCCCTAAAGTCTGGGAACAGTCTTAGAAACCAACAGAAGGCAGGTCTATCCTGTCTTTAGGGGGGCTATGGATTTGAATTCATTCAATGGCACTGAGTGAGTTTCTGACTCCTCGGGGCCCAGTCTCTAAGGAATTCCTTGAGGACTTATGTGACTTCTAATACCTTCATTAGGCAAGGCTTTCAGACATTTATTCTACAGCATTAGCCTTCACCTCTAAATAATATCTAGAATAGTCAGACCCATTTATTGTCTTCACTCCCTTCCTCTTAGCTATTGAACGGGTGCCTGCTCATCTGCGCCATTCCCTAGACCCCACTAGAAGAGAATGTTGCTGCTGACAGTCATACTGAAGGATTTTAATTGGCTTCTTCATTGTGAGGATCCATGTTTTCAAAAGCTCTCTTGTAACTTTTCTAAAGTCCTGGATGTGGGCAGTGTCAAGACACTTTGGAAGGCCAGGAGGCCAGCCCCAAATCAAGAGACCCCGGCCCAAATCAAGAGACCCAGCCCCAAATCAAGAGATCCAGGAACAAACCCTGTGCTGTCAAGTTCATCCACTCTGCTCCGGATCCCTCTGCACACATGGCTCTTTCTGCAGGCTCCCATTGGTCACTCAGCCATTCAGCCAATGTTACTGCACCTGGCGGTGTGCTGGCTGCCGAGGGCAGGATGGTGGGTGAAACCAATGGGGTCCCTGCCCTCACGGAGCCCGCTGTCTACGATGAAGAGACCACAGTGGGGATAGGAGGTTACAGGGAGTCCACTTGATACCATTTGCCTCTGTGTTTGTACAATTAGATTCCACACCCTGCTTATCACTACCCTTTCCCTAGACACCGAAATAACATTAATTTGTATTTTTTTAAAAAGCCGTGTAGCCGGGGTATGGTTTGTTGCACTTTAATTTAAAAATAAAGACTTGACAACATTATGTATGATATCTAACAGCACATCTGCACTAGTAATTAACATTGCAGCAGTGTCATTTTATCTGTAATGCTGATGATCATGCTTCCAATGAACTAGTTTGGTGCACAGCATGTTGGAAGAAGTTATATTATGCAGAGAAGGGAAGCGGGCTGAATGGAGATGCTGAAACTGCAGGGTGGGGGTCAGGTTGCTGATGGCTGCCCCACCATTCTCCTACTGAGGGGAGAGACGTGTTCGATGCCAATTTTCCAAGTGAGAGAAGTTTGTGAGGTTGGTGCAGGCTCTGCCACTCCGCCAGGATCCCCAGGGGGAACACCCAGGTCTTCTGACTTCATGGCCAGGCGGTCTTGATGTGCACACAAAGCAAAGGTCTCAGCTCACATGAAGACCAGGTTGGGGGCCTCCATGCTCTCCCTGGCCTGCGGACACAGATCTCAGGGCACAACAGAGGCGGGAGGTTCTTTTGCAAGAAAACAGAGAACCGGAAACGGACAACTGCTGCTGTCCCTCCTCCCATGAGGAGACCTGGAGACAGCGGGAAGATCAGGGGAGGCCCTTGGC